GGGCCAAGATACTTGGCGCAAAGTTTTTTGCCAGATCCTACCTGCACTCTCTTAATCGCAACTAAGTCGTTAATTTTATATTTAGTTGGCTCGCGTCTTTTCAAATTACATGTTTTACGATTTTCGTTTTGAACTTTACGGATTTGTTCTTTAGCCTGTTTTCGTAATTGATCACGATCCTGTTCGAACTGTATTCGGAATTCTTCTTCTACTGCACTTTTAACGGTTAAATCATTTTTTTTGTTTCATTTTTATTTCAATCAACAGTTCGAACGGGGTCATGCTTATACTTCTATGAAAAGTGGAATTTACAGTCTGTTGAACTATAGGTACATATTTATACCATTTCGTAGGATCATTCATCGTAAGCTTAGTTAAAATGGAGATAATCGTTCGATTAAGCCTTTCCACTTGTCCGTTTGCTCGCGGTAGACCAGTTGTGACCATGGAATGGTTGATACCTTCTTCTTTGCAATAATTTTGAAATTCTAGGGAAGAGAACGCGGTGCCTCTGTCGGTTATGATGCCAGCTGGATTTCCAAATGTTTGACTTTGCATCTGCAGTTTTGTAATCACCTCCTTAGACGTCGTGGATTTGGTAGGGTACAACCAGTAAAACTTGATAAAGCTATCTATTACCGCTAATATGTGATTATACTTTTTGCTAGTCGAGTCCAATGGTCCCAAGTGGTCCAGATGATATATGTGTAGGGGCAAATCACCTTTAGTTAATGGGTTGACCCTCTTGTTTACCTGCCTTCTTATTCCCTAAAATGCACGGGACACAATTCGCTATTACGTTTTCAGTTTTTTTGGGTAACATCGGAATATAATACTCTTGCTTGACAGCTTCTTCGGTACGCTTCACAGAAAAGTGACCTCGACCATGAGCCATCAGAATGTTTTCGCTCTGCATGTCCAGCGATATGACAAGCAGTTCATGACCGTCTTTGAATTTATATAGCACATCGTTACGCATCGCATAATCGTCGTATGGTTTCTCTTTTAAAACCTCTAAGATGGCCTGTAGCTCCGGATCGCTTTTCTGCGCCTTCATGATCTTTAATATAATATCTTCACTACTAATCGCCATAACCGGTGGCTAAGCGCATCTACGTGTTTCATCCTAGGACTAGCTCTATGTTCAACGATTACGTCAAATTCCTCGACCATCAAAGCCCATCTCACAATCTTAGCGGATAACTTGACTTTACTTAGAGTTTATTTGAAAGCTATACAATCAGTTACGATCTTAAATCGCATGCCCAAAAGAGTCTGAATTTATCTAACGCTCTTATTACGGTTAAAACTTTGAGCTCGTAGCTAATATATCTGGATTCTGTTTCTGTCGTCTTGCAACTCATATAATATACCGGATGTAGTTTGTTATCTTCCGAGTTCTTCTGCAACAAGATTGCCCCTAAACCATTCTTACATGCATCAGCATGTAACTCAATTTCGAATTTAAGATTAAATATCCTTAACACCGGGCTGTTACTTAAATCCGATTTCAGCTGCTTAAATGATTCTTTTTCCTTTACAT